TCCCAAAACATCGAACCAAACGAGGCGTGACGCGTGAGCTATCCTGCGTCCATGCTAGTAACTTAAGTAGCTATAGTAGCTATCTCTTCCTTAATTGGGGCGCTTACTTAATCAAGTAGGGAGTGGGGGAGAGCGAGCGGGCTAAAAAGAAGTTATCTTAGATTTAGATGTCTCAACCTTGGGCGGCCGTAGCCGCTACGTAGCCCTCTTTAGGACCTCATCAACATTGACTCACAGATCAAGGCGGCTGTAACTGTTGCGAAGCTTAGATCTCCCAAGGAGTGTTGTTGGACTTTTGGACTTCCAGACCGCTTAGTGCTGGTGGTCAGTTTTCGTTCACTGAGGCTGTCAACACCAGCACACGAACTCTGGAAGCGGCTATGACAGGCCAGATTTTCTTCAGAAGAGGAATTTTATATAAAGGAAACAACCTTTTTGTTTCCTCTTTTCTTCTTCTTTTTTCTTCCGTTTTTTTCACTGAAGACGTTTTTGATTTTTGGACATGTAAAACTTGGCTCATGCTTACGCGAGAACAGTCAAAGTGTTAGTCCAGTAGAGCGATAGGCAATTTGATACGCACTGCTTAGCTGTGGAGGGGGTTGGCCAGAGAGTCTATTAGGCTTGTGAAGCCTTCAGTCTTTGACTTGACCCATAAAAAGATGAAGGAAGGAGCCGCATGTAAAGAAAAATATGACAAGGACACTGTGAGTTTAAACAAATGGACCCACCCCTAGTAGCGATGGTCTCCAACCTAAGAGCGATGGCCTCCACCCTAGTAGCGATGGCCTCCAACCTGGGAGCGATGGCCTCCAACCCAAGAGCGATGGCCTCCAACCTAAGAGCGATTGCCTGCGTGAGCTATCCTGCGTCCTAGGTAGTAGCTTGAGTAGCTACTAGTTACCTCGGGCGCCTACTTAATTATATAAGTAGGGGGGGAGGCTTAACAAAAAGGCTCTCGAGTTTTGTTTGTGCTTCGTTCATTGACAATTCTCGTTCCAGGTGCATCCGTTGCATTGAAGACTTCACTGACCAGTCTGATGACCAAAGTCAAGGACGCTTCCTCCAGAGTAGAGAAGGCGCTTTCAGAGTTGATTCCGTTTTTTTACTTTGCATTTGTATGTTTGTTCCGTTAATGGGACTTCACCTCCCTTCCAAGACAATCACCGTACAAGTAGAATAGTAGTTGGAAAAGACCCTTGTAGGGACAATATATATGTATATGTATCCGGAATGCAGCTTCAGCTAACTGATGGTACGGTGCTGCATAGGACTTGCCGGGATCCAATTCAGTCTTTTAGTAGGACAACTGGGTAAATGCAAAAATTGTGCATCATCATTACTTTTCTTCTTGCACACAGCATGCAGTTTCAATGGTTTCCTCCAGTCAAGTGGGCCAGAAACCAAAGGAATAAGAAACTGATAGCTTCTAAGTAACAAAACGTAGCAAGACCAGATTTGCCTGAAAGAAAACAAAACATAAAAGACTGAGCTGCCTGCACATTGATTCAAGTCATGTTCGCTGCATGATTTTCTGATGAGTGTGGATGGGAAGTGGACTTGTGCGTGACGGAAAGGGGCCCTGACAGATGCATCTGCCACAGGCTTTGTTCACCTTGCATCGGTGTGTCCGTCTGAAGTGAGTGTCTTCCAAACCTTGCAACCTACTAGCGATGGCCTCCAACCGAAGCAATCCAGCTGCTTTCCAAATAATCAGCGCAAACAGACTCCGAAGTGCTGCATTGTGGGGCAGGCTAAGCAAGCCTCAAAGACTCAGCGTGAGAAGGCCGCAGCAGAGGCAGGGGAGTGCTTGCTGGTTTCAAGAGCTTTCTCCGAAAGAGTTTGGGTCTTAGGTGTCTACTCAAAGTTAAACATGTTTCTTTCTTCAAGCAACCGTTTTTTGTGGCTACGAAGGACGATACGCGGTTTTTCGGACCAGACCTGGCGCGATGTTCGTCACCAGACCGGCCGAAGGTAGGTAGGTCCGAAGCTTCGTTCCTACCGAAGTCGAGCCAAGTTTTCGGATCACCTGCGATCGAAGAAGACAGGATCGCAAATGTCTACAGTCTAGAGGGTTGGAGGCCACTATTAGGTTGGAGGCATCGCTATGAGGTTTCCTTTGCACATTTCTGATAGGTCGGTGAGTATTTTCTGTGAAGTGATGAGGTGTGCGATGTTTGATGATTTGTGAAGTGAACGGATGCGGACTAGGTAGGCGTAGGTTCTGCGCTCCAATTGTCGTGCCCTGATGGCCGATCGTCTCAGCATCGGGATGCCACTCATTTATCTCGCATCCATCGCTATCGCTGGTTGGAGGCTGCTATTAGGTTCCTTAAAGTCTTGTTTGCTAGGTTCTCAGTTGTCTCGCATGCGGTGCGTCTGTCAATGACCTGACCGCTCCAGGTCACGGGTCCTAATACGCGAGCCATTTTGTGCTTTTCGCAAGCTCAATTGTTACTAGTAGCTTCTTGTTACTAGTAGTAGGGCCAGGAGCCCCTAGTAGCGTCCTTGCTCCTAGTAGCGATGCCAGGAGCCCCTGGTAGCTTCTTGTTACTAATTGGTTGTTGGTGTTGTACGTTTGATTACTTTTGTGTGATATTCATTTTTCTATCCAAGTCTGGAAATCTTCAGTCGCAAGCTGCTTGTTTCCCTTCTAAACTTCCTGCAACGGCTACAAAGTTTTGGAATGCTTTCTTTGTGCTACTTGCAAGAACAATGCCAATTGATTCAATGAACATGCCCCGCATTGTTCCTCTCAAAGACAAATGGAACAGTTTTATTGCGTGACACCATAGGTTCGCCGACAATGGTCTGTTGCGCAGAGGAAGGCGATGCGGAGAACGTCATGGTTCATCCAGTTCGCAGCACGGACTCGACCAGTTCGCAGCGGATGGAAGAGATCCTTTCCCAACTCAATGCGCTTGCTGCTCGAGTTGAAATGCTCGAGAGACGTGCAGAAGGGGAGCCGGTCTCCATGCTCGGTGGAATGAAAGAGGTTGAAACGATCAAAGGGATGGACCTGAACATTCAACCGATCAGTAGCATGGCTCCCATGAAAACACAGGGATCAACTGAGTTCGAGACAGACACCAGTGTCGCCTCAGACATTACATCACAGAGATCTCCTCAGCGACGAACACTCACACAGGATCTTAGCCGAGCAGGCACATCACTGTCTGAAGTGGGTCGAGGCCGCTCCAGCCAGCTCTTGTACGAGTCCTTCTGGGATGCAACCGTCGTTTTGGGAATGGGTGACCTTGGAATGGCCACTACATTTCTGGTGACCATCGGAATTATGGTGAGCGTTTGCGCTCAGTCCTTGTTTTGCTGGGTGGTCTTTGCGGCTTTCTTGTCGCCTGATGCAAAGTATGATCCAGCATTCCTCACCGATTGGCGCCTCCTGGTGGGACATGGTGTGAAAGGCTATGACGCCAATTCCGGTTCGTCTCTCATCAGCCGGGCATGCCGAGGAAAGCCTTTTGACCGAGAATGGTGGGCTGATGCGTTGCTCAATGAGATTGATGACTACCTCACACCTCTCCTGTCCGATATGATGACTGTCGGTTTTGTGCTGAGCAGCATGGCTGTGGCAATTTGGCTTGCCTACATTGCCAAAGAGCTTCAACGAGTGGGTTGCCTGATGGCCAATGTGGCTCGTATCCCACGAGGTGCCTCCTTCATCTCGAACGAGGCCTCAGGCGGCCGAAACAGCAGCTTTCACCGGTCAGCTTCGGCTTCAAGCTTGGATACGCTGTCAAGTGGCAACACTCGTCTTGTCAGGACCTTCAGGACAATTACTCTCAGGCGCACCTCAGTGCTGCTGTTCGTCTTCACGATTCGGGCCACCTTGGCAGTGCTTTTGGGCTTTTGTGGTGCTTTGTGGCTTTGTAGAACCAGGGACATCGAAAACATCATTCAGAATGGAGTCTCTTTGGTCTTTGTCCTGGAGATTGATGAGCTTTTCTTTGAGCTCTTTGCCCCGCGTCATGCAAGCCGTTTCATCACCTCCATTGCCAGAGTTGAGACTCAAGCACGGAAGCCATGGGTTGAGAATGCGTTCAGCGTTTTGCAGTTTGCGGCCTTCTTTGTGGTCGTGGCACTTTTCGTGATCGAGGAGGTCTATGAGAATAACCTGTCGGCCCAAAGGGTGAGGGATACCATGTGTAAGGGCAATCAAGACTTCATCATTGAGTCTCATGCGACAGTGGGGCCAATCTTCCTGACGGATACAATCCCCTTCGTGGATGGTAACCTTGACAACAAGATGCTCCCTGGAATCTAGGACGGTCTTTGGAAGCTTTTTCTTGTTTATCTTGTTTCCTCTGCAAGTTTGCAAAAAATATCGATGCATCAGAACCATTTCTGACACTGGGTCAGAAGCTTTATCCTAGAATCCGAGCTTCTTATGTGTCATCGCTACTAGGGGGAGGCCATCCCTCTGAAGGTTGGAGGCCATCGCTACTAGGGTGGAGGCCATTCTTCTTATGTGTCCTTGCGTTGTGCCCATTGTTTGTGTCTTCTCCTTGCTTTGCCAAGGAATGAAACCTCTTCTCCGAGAAGTCGCTGAGAACTACAATCCAGCTGAAGCCAAGGACTGAAAAGAAAGACAAGAAGATGCACATGAACAGTTGATTATTTAGCATAGTTAAGTTTCCCTAAAAATCTAGGAACCACATGAATAGTGTGAGCGCTTATTCAAGGAAGCTCCCCCCCGCCCTCAGGCGGAGGGAGCTTTCTTGAAGAAGCGTCTTCGCTATACTGCGTCCAGTAGCTAGTAGCTATTTAATCTACTAGCCACCTAGCGACCTCCGCGGCCTACCCCCCGGGCTAAAGAATAACAAGAAGCTAGTAGAAACAATAAGCTAATGGCTTCTTGTTACTACTAGGAAGGCACTTGTTACTAGAAGCGATGCACCTGTTACTAGTAGCTTCTTGTTACACAAACACATACAAAACCACTTTTTCTTGTCTTTTCCGGAAAGGACTGGATGTGGAGAACGACCATGGAGGGTCGCGGAGAGGTGGCGGTGAAGCACACGCCCACCGTGAATGACTTCAATGCTTGGTTGTCCATGGACCAATTTCAAGTAGCGGACCATTCGACCTACGGCTTTGGCAACTGGTTTGGCAATACCTGCTTTGATCAGGGTCGGGATTTCTGGGAGGGTGATTGGCTTTGGAGTACTGCTATGGCTTTGACTGGAGCCACGGATTGCCCGAGTGCCGAAGCCTTTTGCGGACGGAAAGAGTTCCCCTTGGTGCGAATGCTTTGCCCACAGACCTGCAGATGCACCTCAGCGGACTCAGGGCAGTTTCTGTCGAATGGATGTCGACTGGGCTGCAGGGATGAAGCATCTTTCATGAACTCTTCTTGTCATGACATCCGAGTGAATGAACCGGAGCGGAAGGAAGCTTGGGACTACTACTGGAGCTTGTTCTACAGCAACAACAAAGGTCATTGGCAAGAAGATCATGAGCTCATGGTCTTTGCGAAGAATGGTTCCATGGGAGATTGTGAGATCATCACCCGAGAGGCATGGATGATCAATGAGTTCTGCTTCCACTTCCACAACGCCTGGGTGGCTCGGCGACCACTGACGGCATTTTGTCCAGAGACCTGCGGCTGCCTCCAAGAGGAACGGCCCGTCTCGCCTATTTCCACTAGTCTAGGGCCATGGTGTCCATCTACTTGCTGAGGCAAGGAGAGACTAGAAATGACTAGTGAGCTTTCTGCTCTGTTTATTTGTGGGCGACATTTGGGTCTAACCACTGCAATGCAGTGCTCTCGATGAACGCCACACACAGCAACTTGTGTAGGACAAAAAAGATCACTGTTATTTTGCATGAACTGCACACTCTACTTTCATGTATCATGCAAACTTTGGCTACTTGCATGAACTCTCAATTTGACATTGTCTGCAGGTTTTTGTGAAGGAAGCAGAACAGCAGGTAGAGAATGTGGAAGCTGCGCTCGTCAAGGTAGCAGAGGAAGAGCTCTTAGAATGAAAGCACAAGTCCCTAAGCACAGTGCGGGCGCTTCTTCAAGGAAGCTTCCTTGAAGAAGCGTGAACTATCCTGCCTCCTGTCGGTAGTAGCTACCTAGCTACTACTAGCTACCTCCTAGTGGCCTACCCCCCAAAAAAGGCAGAGTTCGAGAATGCGACAAGCAGTACTTTGTTTCATAGAACAAGCACTTTGTCACCGCCCGCGCAGGGGCGACAGCCTCAAGATCTACCCCTCACAAGTCACAAGTTGATGTCAATACCTCTTAGTACTTCATTTGCCAAAAAAAGGGGCAACCACACAAAATATGGTCTAAAGAAACATGTTTAAAGAACAGTGTACTTCCTTTGAAGCACAACTTACAAGAATGCTGTAGTAACAAGTGCATCGCTAGTAGTAACAAGTGCCTTACTGGTAGTAACAAGAAGCTAGTAGTAACAAGTGCATCGCTTCTAGTAACAAGTGCCTTACTAGTAGTAACAAGAAGCTAGTAATTACATGTAATTACAATTCTAATTCAATTCTTCTTGTTACTCCCTTACGGCTCTTTCGGCCTGCTTCTTTCCGCAACCTTTTACCCTTTAGGAGTTCCAAGTTCGGTCTAAAGAAACGGACGGAAGAAAAAAAAGACAACGAAAGACATGATATATATATATACATAGATAACAAGTTGTGTTTTTAGAACATAGGGTGACTAAAGTGTTCAATGCTTCGCCGAAAACATCCTGCTTCCTTCTCGGTCTAAACTACCTACCCGTTCCCAACCGGCCTTAGGTGACGGCTTTTCCATGTCATTCTTGGGACCTTTGTTAGTTTCACGAAAGCCAGACTAGCCTATCTCACGAAAGCCAGAGCTGGAGTGCAGGGGAGCGAACGAAGTGGGCAGGTTCGGAGAGGCTGACCCAGAGCCTGACCAGGGGAGAGCGAAGAAAAGAGGTGAGAAAATGAGTGGTTTTCTGGTATGTTGTGATGCAAGTGATGCAATTGATGGCAAGTAGTGCATCATTAGCATTATGAGGGCTTCAGGGGGCAATGTAAACCGTCTTCTACCAATGAGGGGAAAGCCGGGACAACGGGTTCTTAAGACTCTTAAGGCACTGTGAGGGCCGGAGGGGGAACAGAATGCTGTGGGGGAAGGTGAGACAGACATAGCGGAGGAGAGTGGGTAGGAAAAGAGGATTTGCAAGAAATCTTGGAGTTGCTTGGAGAGGTAGGGCACCCCATACTTAAGAGCTGGAGAGAGAACTTGCTTGGGGGCGCCCTTTTTTCCTGGTGGAGGCAGGCGCAGGGGAGGTGGAAGTTTTTGAGTTGCTTGGCGGGGCCTTTTTTTATCGGGTGGAAGCCCATATCCTCGCGTGGCACTGGACTGGAGGTTTTTGTGACAGGCATGGCTCGGGGTCAAAAATGTATCAACTCGCTTGAAACATAAGAAGCTACTAGGAACAAGTGCATCGCTAGTAGTAACAAGTGCCTTACTAGTAGTAACAAGAAGCAATTAGAAACAAGTGCATCGCTTGAAACATAAACCAACACACCATACCAAACCTTCCCCGGACTACAGGGGTGCCCTTTTTCACTTCCACACCCCCCGACATCATACCAAAAAAGGGCACCCCCTCCCAAACCTATGTATTTTACTTTCTATTTCCACTCCTTCTCAAATGACAGCAATATCAACTTCACCACTTCCGGCTACTCTTTGTCCACTCTACCTACATATATACATATATGCATCCTCACGAAAGCCTGCCGATAGCCTCGCCCATGGCCCCCCACAGCGGGGGGTGCCCCTTTTTCACCTCCAAAACGCAGCGTTTCGCTTTTCTGCTCACGTTTTCTGTATTTGAGTGAACGCCTTGGCTCCTAAAATTACAGCTGCAGCTAGGGAGCCTCTGCGGACTTTTCTTTTTGAACAAAGTTTGGGTGGAGTGACGCCAATAACCAGAACCGAAGTTCAGGGCACTGCACCAAATGAATCTTTTGTGGAGCCGCTGACCAAGGGCTCAATGAAGGACCCCCTGCAAGTTTCGCACATGTACTGGTCGCCCAAAATAGACTGTGTAATTGTGCAGCTTGCGCCAGTCCAAGCTCCTACTTTGCAGAAAAACTAACGCAAATACAAAAGGGGAAACAACAAAATAGAAAGGTAATACATTGTTAAAAGTAGAGATGCATTATCAATCTTTTTTGACACATAAGGAGGGTATGGGGAAACGGGTTTGGCAACGTCCTTCCACGCCTCGACGCCTCGAAGTCTCGTGGCTGTTTTCCCCTTTTCGCGCTAAGAGTTCGATGAGTCACTTGTCGCTTGTCGCACTTGTTCCTAGTAGCGAACCTTGTCACTACTAGTAAGGCACCTGTTACTACGAGCGATGCCCTTGTTTCTAATCTGGAGTCAGTGATCAACGGTCCTGGTGTTTTTTGTGCCGTATCTGATGGGCGAACGTGCGATGTATCCCATCTCTCCCCACTGAAACCTTACAAGTAGAGGATGTCTTCAGCATCGATGGCTGCATGGGTTTCTGGGATTTTCTGCGAATGCTCCGAGGCTGAACTGCCATTCCTGAAAGGTATCGAGGTGGGACGTCAAAATTTTTGTGCATTGAAAGAAGGGTCTTGGCAGATGTTTCAACGCGTGTTGGTAGGTCTTAGTAAGTCCTGGCACGTCTAAGAGCCCTTCAGTCAAGTCTCACTTGGCACCATTTCGCGTCATGTGACTGCTTTCAAGGTGCTCCCACTTTCGGAAGCGTCCATTGCCATTGCGGAGTGTGAAAAGGCAGCCAAACATGTGCAGGAGGCGCTCCAAACGAACTTTTAATCACCATGCCCAAAATGAAGAGTGAAGCACTGAAGATCTTTGCATCAGTTTCGCATCCAAGGCATTGGAAAAAGCAAAGTCTTTCGTGAGTGCCAAAGTGATGGAAGTTCAACGATTTGCGGAGGCAAGGGGCGTCAGATCCAAACTATTCACTTTTGATGTTTTCCCCCGCAACTCTATTCTTTTTTGTAAGTGTTGATTCTTAACTCTCAACACGAAGCAGCTCCGTGAGTTGTGAGGTTCCATGAAGGGTTTAGGGTTCGCAGGTTTCAGGGTTCAAACACACGGTTTGGTAGAGCTGTGGCTTCCTGAAACTTGTAGTAACAAGTGCCTTACTAGGAGTAACAAGAATAATTTAATTAGAATTGTAATTAATAGCTTCTTGTTACTACTAGTAAGGCACTTGTTACTACTAGCGTGGCACTTGTTACTACTAGCTTCCTGAAACTTCTGGAGATTGGTTGTGATGTCTCAAGTGGAGACGGTTCCAGTGGGAGGTTGGAGGTGCAGGTTCTGGAGCCAGGTTCGAGAGGTTACAGGAGAGGTTCCAACTCTCTGAGACTGGGAAGGAATGGAAGTCGATTGGATTTGTATGTCTTTTCCGAATTTCTTTTTGAGGCGCAAGACAATGATCTAACTATTGGTGCCAGTAATTCTTGGAGAGGGATTCATTCATACAGGATTCTCCTCATTTGGTTTGCTTCTCAGATAGCGAATCAGTTCGGGCCAGCTTGTCAGTGGCAGTAAGCGTGAGGTTTGCTCCGTTGATTAGATTGAAGCATTTGGTGGACATTTCCACCCAACGTGCTGCACACGTCTTGACATCAACGCCTTTTTATATAACACATGGGTGTTTGAGTTAGCAAAATGGGTCAAACATGTGTTCTGGTTGCTGAGGGAGAGTGATGATCTAAGAACAGTCTTGTTAGCATGTTATTTTCAAGAATATTCATTCTAGTAGCATGCTTGACTGCAGCATGCTTCGGTTGGGGCAGTGCAGAGGTCTTGCTTTGAGCGGTGTCAACGCCGTTGCAGGCTGCTGCCAAGCCGTGTTTGGAAAGGCTGAATGGATTGGTGGAGCGCAACAACGTGGCCGTGCCATGTGTTGAGGGGAAAAACTCTAACCCACATAAAAACGGGCTAAGGCGGAACTTTTGCAAGAAGGCTCTGGAAAAGTTTGCATCTAAAGGGTTGGGATCCCATATTTCTGGCAAGAATACTTCAGCCGATGGAACTGAAAAGGTCTTGAAAAAGATGTACTTTGTTTGCCAGGCGGCAGCCACCAAACTGACCGAATTCCGCACACGGCTCGTGGCACTTTTCTGTTCGTCTCCACAGGCTCAGTAGCCGCTCAGTCTCGTTTCGTATGGGACTGAGGCAAAGACACTGAGAGTCACAAAAGAACCTCTCAAATGCAGGAGGCAAGAACACTGATGAGAACTGAGTAAACTGATCGTCCAACCGTTTTTTTTGACTTGTTCTCTTGATTCCTTGGACTTTTAAACCACTCAACACACTGAGATGCAGGCTGAAGAAATGCTGAATGCAGCCGAAGCAGAGATAGAGAAGACGCGCGAGGCAACATCGGCACACTCATACAGCTCATACGCTTTTGTAGCAACCCCCCTTTTGTTGAATGCAGTTTAGTCCACAACATTTCGCGGTTTCGCCCATCAAGAAACATAGTTTTTCTTTTTTGCCAGCACAAACAATCAGAAGCAACAAGTTTTCTTCTTGATTGTTTTTGTTCATATCTTTTTCTATTTATTCTTTTTCTCTGATTGTCTAGCCTCTCTTTCTGTGTAGGCCGGTGCTCCACTATCGGCTGAGGAGAGCTGTGCTTTTAGATCTGCAGGGGAGCAGCTTTAGGATTTTCTGTTCTCACCTTACAACATAAATTTGCCGTCTCAATGGCAATTGCAGCAACGTTTCAATGGAGTCCAAAGCAGTTCCAAATCTCAAATCTCAGCAAACAGTATGGAAAGGCATGTAGATGGGTAGGTTGGAGGCCATTGCTTCTAGGTTGGAGGCCATCGCTCTTAGGTTGGAGGCCATCGCTATTAGGTTGGAGGCCATCGCTCTTAGGTTGGAGGCCATCGCTACTAGGTTGGAGGCCATCGCTAGTAGGTTTGAGGCCATCGCTCTTAGGTTGGAGGCCATCACTGTTAGGCTTGAGGCTATCACTATTAGGCCAACGCTATCAGGTTGGAGGCCGTTGCTATGAGGTGGGAGGCCGTCGCTAGTAGGTTGGAGGCCATCGCTCTTAGGTTGGAGGCCATTAG